TGCAATATAAGTTAATTATAATTACAAATTTCACTTATAAGGTACTTTAATAGGGTTCATTATGAACATAGACCACATGAGTCTTAATTTGGAATGCATGATATTTTCATATCTTGACCAGTTAAAATCAAATATTTTCTACAGTATTCATAGCATGAAAATTGCTTGTAGACTCTGATTCATCAGCTCTATGTTTCTGTTTCCACAATTGTTAATCATTTTGGGTAAGCACCAAATGATACTTTTGCAATATTCTATAAAACAGCTGTTTTTTTTACCTTATCTAAAGCCTTTTCATTTTACAATTTTAGCAAGAATACTTACTATGAGTCAAAGAGAGTGAAAACAAAAATATTGTTCCATATCACATACCAAAAGAATTCATCAATTCCCAATTTTTCTCCCTCAAGAATATGAAATCCACTTAAGCAGTTGAAAAATTTTGTGCTGTAGCTTTTGTTTTCCTTTAAATAGAGTTTTTTTTTTTACATTTTTGTACATTCATTTTTTATTCTGTGGAAAAGTAAATCACTCTCTAAATTTTGTTTAGGTCCACCAAAGGGAAAGTTTAGCAGGAAGTTATGTCTCAAAAGAATCCCAAGGAGCTACTGTGAATAAATCAGAACAGTGTGTGCCTTTCTTCTCAGCTGGAAAAGTCCTGGACACCTCATTTAATAGCCATGAGAATCCTGCAACAGTTTGTCAATCTCAGGGACCAATTTTCAAGCAAAGTTACTTGGCATATTTTCAAGGACAAAGTTCAAGAACAAAACGAGAAAAGGATTTTCCTTTTCACATAGAACTTCCACAATGAAGGATATGATCACTTAAGCATCTGTTTTTGATGACCTAATTTTTGACAAATTACTTTTGAAACCTCACACCTAAAGAATTATAAGTTTATCAAGTATAATATTGATGTGGTATACATAACAAATCAAGTAATTTTAAACTAGTTTGGGAAGGAAATTTTAGAGAAATAATTGCTTTAAGACTGACATTATAAAGAATTAAACTATAAATTTTTCAAATGAAAATTTTTACATTCAAAAGTGTCATACTATGAGTAAAATGTGTTCATTAAAAACTGATGGACTTCCAAAAATTCAGTGAAAGCAAATATTGATAGTAGTTTCTGTCAATCATTTCACTTTGTGAACATAATATTTGTTTGGACATACACATAAAGATTGATAATTATTTGTATAGTGTATATTCAATATCTCATGTTCATTTTGCAGCTTTAATTTTTAGAATACACTATATCCCCTGTTCAGTTAACATCTTGTAGGCATTACCAGTTCACTTGTGTGGTGTTGGCTGGTGTCCCATCATTCAGTACATAAACTGAGAGATCACTAAGTGATAAATGCATCTTTTGAGGCGTCACAGCAAATGATGGATTTTTTTTTCTGTTTTGGTAGTGTTACGTGGTTTATTGCATAAAATATTTGTACAATATGGTTTAATATCTTATTATATTTGATTTTTTATTAAAGAAAATGACAACAAAATGATAAAATCAACCCTGAGACTGGTAATCATTTTGTAATTAATTTAGTGACTAAAACCTCACTTCCTGTGAATATTAATAGTTTAAAATTTTCTTTAAAAGATTAAAATAGTTTTACATAAAATAATAAACCTAAAATATTTTAGTTTTATTTATTATTATTCTTTCAAGATGAGGAAGCAAAAAGAAAATCTGAACAGGTACACACTGAGAATAATGAAAAATTTTTCAGAGTTTTGCATTAAGTGATTATAAGATATATTTTTCCACAGATATGTCTGCTCATACCCCAGAATTTCAGGAAAAAACTTCTTTAAGTGGATAAAGAAGCTACTTTTATATGAATTAGTTTGTTGGTGAACTTTTAGAAGAACAGTATTTTTTCTCACAATTTTATCTGTTGCTATGACAGTATAATCTATAGCTTATAAATTCAACATCAAACTATGAGACAAAATGTAAACTTGAGGTTTAGGACAAATGAGCAGTTATGTGTGATTATCTTGGTTATAAGACAAGGTGTGGCAAATCACCTTGAACAAGGTTTTCCTGTGTCATTTTCCTCACATTGAAATCAACATTGATTAAATATACAGCAGTTTATGGCATCAAGACAATTCTCATATCAGCACTGTATCATAGCATAAGTCAAAGAGTAATAGGGATTTTTTTAAATGTTCTTCAATTTAAATGATATTGTAGTTTAATTCCTAGGTCACCGCATTGTAAACCATAATTATCTTTCTTTTCTCACCTTCTGTCTACTTCCATTTGCTCTTCCCTATGTTCCTATTTGCTGAGTTATTTTACTATTATCTTACATTTTCTTCTACCTTTGTCTCACTAGATAATGAAAAGTTTAATTTTTGAAAATTTATTTCACTCATGTTGAATAGCATGTATTCATTGTAATAAAAATGTTTTTCACTGATACATTTTCAAGCAAGTAGATACTGTACATTGATCATAGTCAACTCATCTCTCACTGGTTGTCTTCATTTTTCTAAATAACTCTCTTTTCAACTCAATGTCCTTCTAGATTTTTCATAGAGAGATTTTCATATGAAAGAAAATGTGAGTCTATCCTATTTGTTAACCTGATGATCTCAGGGACCACCATTTCCTGTAAACCACATGATACTATTCTTTGTAATTCCCCATTGTGTACATATGCCTCATTTCATTTACCCACCCACTTCTAGATGGGCACCTAAGCTGATTCCATGACTTAGCTACTGTGAATAGTATTGATATAACACAGGCAAGCAGTTATAAATATATGCTGACCTTGATTCCTTGAGGAATTTACCATCCAACATACACAATGTGGTCCTGTGACTGCCTCCTGCTCCTCCTACATGAGGAGCAGTTGAAGGGGAGAAAAACTGTTGGAGACCAGGCGGTGTAATGAACATCAGAAGTTCATGAATTTAGGGCCCTGTTACTTGGAAGACTGAGTTTTTGGTTATGGGATGTGATACTGAAGACAGTGTCCTGCCAGTATTCTTCTAAGAACCATGAATTCCTAATTCATAATGAATGCACACATTATGTTCCTACATTCAATAGTGTTACATGCTATTTTGCAGAGTATAGAAATTTAAAAATATACCTTATTTTGCCCAGAAATTAACTATGAAACCACATATGGTTCATGATCAATAGCTATATGCAGCAACTCAATAAATACTGAGTGAGATGAGCACTCTGGGTCTGAGTGCTATCTCAGAATCCCAGCTTCCCCCTTGCTTTCAAATTTCAACTTGACTTTGAGTCTTTCTTTTTACTGTGCACACTATCCCTCTTCTCTCTAGGTCTGCCAACATGAGACTTGAGCAGCATGGGCCACGAAGACATGGACCTAAAGAGATTTGGGGTAATCATAAGCAATCAGGTGTGCAAACTCCACCTGATAAGAGTTGCGACTATAGTTGTGAGGATAATGTAGTGTAGCTATTAAAGGCTGGGTAACAATGGGGCAGAATTTGTCTAGTATTGATCATTATGTTTTCCTTTCCAAAATCTTTTAAAGCAATCTGGAGCCTCTGTAAGTTCTGATCAAATAAAAGAAGCTATTGACTGGGTTCTCAAATATTGTGCCTGGTTTCTGGAGGAGGGAATATTGCATGTTGAAGTTTGAGATCACATTAGTAAAATAATACAAAATGAGCACAGACAGGGCCCTCTTATTCCACTGCAGATATATTTTATGTGGTCACTGGTAAAAACAGTGCTTGAGCCATTTCAGGAAAATGAAAGTAAAAAGCAAACTGTGCCTCAGTGTGAGTGTCCTATGCCTAAAGCTGCAGCACCTACTCCTCCATAAGAATGGAAAGACACTGGCCCCTTTAAAAAAGAAGTACTGATTATATTTAGTGAAAAAAACCTAAAACAGAAGAGCTGACTCCTGTCCAAAAGGCTTGAAATAAATATAATGACACATTTGATTTCACAGATCCAGATGATTTAATGCTATTTCTAATTACAGAACAAGCTGACAGACAGGGAGGAATTCAAAGAATTCATCAGATATTTGATTTAAGAACTCTTTGTGCCCTCAGAGATACTGTGAGGGAGAACTGGGGTTCAGGCTCTGCTTATGTTAACTATTTTGTATGCTTTAAATAATTTGTGGTTACCTCCTTCGGATTGGCGTTAGACAGCCAAAGCGGCTTTATCGGGAGGTCTCTATTTGCAATGGAAAACACCTTTTGGAGATTTTGAGCAGGAAACTGCCAGGCTTATTGCTCAGAACAATGTGGCTATCGCCTTTGAAATTTTAATGGGGATTTGTGCTTTCTCAACCTTACAGGCACAATCGACACAACCCTCAGGCTTATGAGCAGCTCTTCCTATGTGCGTGTGTGCATGGCAAACTTTACCAGAACCTGGAGAGCCTAAAAATCTTTTCTAATATGCGTTCAAGGACATTCTGAGGCTTGTGCTGCTTTTTTAGATAGCTTGACTAAAGCTGTACGCTGACAGGTTGTTCAGCATAAGCGGCTGATGTGCTCATTTAACAGCCTAAATCATTTTTCCTCCTCTCATCTGGAGTCACTCAAACTACAGATGGTCTTGCAGTCTCACCAATAATACTGCAGATCCTTAGATACCCCCTTGGGTTTGGATTCCTATCTCCTGCCAGGGCCAATCTTTGCCCCTTCTCAGCAGGAAGTAACTAAAGACTGAATCTCGATGCCACATCTCCCTAAAGGCATTTAGGGGCTCCAACCCACAGGGGTTCCCATGGGGTAATATCTTGGTGAGATCACATCCTCTACGCATGACATGACACAGAGAGCAGCAAATCCTCTCAGGGTAAACATCAGAAGAAAACACCCTCCACAGTGGGAAACCATAGAATTTACCTTTGGTAAGAACCATGGCAAGAAGAGAGTGACTAAGAGGATTGCCACCTGTATTTTAAGACTTAACTTGCGCAGTGTGAGGGGAGCGGAGCAAGGAGGTGACGCCGCCTCAGCCTCGTTCCTTCGGGCCACACCTGGGCCTTACTCCCAGGAAGCTGCGGTCTCGCGGCTCCTCTCGGTGCCGTCTCAGGTCTCTTACCTCCAGAAAGAAAAAAAAATTGACACCTTGTACGCTGGAAGTACATTTTAGGAGTCTGAAATTAGGGACTTCTTTCAAATTTGGAATATGGCTAATCGAGGAGCATCAAGACCCAACGGGCCAAATATTGGAAATAAAATATGCCAGTTCAAACTAGTACTTCTCGGAGAGTCTGCTGTTGGCAAGTTAAGCCTCTTGCTTCGTTTGGTGAAAGGCCAGTTTCATGAATTTCAAGAGAGTACCACTGGGGGCTGCTTTTCTAACCCAAACTGTGTGTCTTGATGATACAACAGTAAAATTTGAAATATGGGATACAGCTGGTCAAGAACGATACCATGACCTAGCACCAGTGTACTACAGAGGTGCACAAGCAGCCATAGTTGTGTATGATATCACAAATGAGGAGTCCTTTGCAAGAGCAAAAAACTGGGTTAAAGAACTTCAGAGGCAAGCAAGTCCTAACATTGTAATAGCTTTATCAGGAAACAAGGCTGACCTAGCAAACAAAAGAGCTGTAGATTTCCAGGAAACACAGTCTTATGCAGATGACAACAGTTTATTATTCATGGAAACATCAGCTAAAACTTCAATGAATGTAAATGAAATATTCATGGCAATAGCTAAAAAGCTACCAAAGAATGAACCACCGAATCCTGGAGCAAATTCTGCTAGAGGAAGAGGAGTAGACCTTACTGAACCTAAACAGCCAACCAGGAGTCAGTGTTGTAGTAACTAAACCTCCAGTATGAGCTAGCTGGAACATTCTGCTTCCTAATTGTTAATAACAATGGAATTGGAGCATTTAACCGGCCCAGTATGACTTCAAAAAGAAGAGACTTATGATAGAGACAAGTTTCTAATACAGAATTATTTTAAGTGTTTTGAAATTAATTTTTAATAACCTGCATGTGTCCCTCTGACTAATGTTTCAGCAATAGAAAGGGAAAAATGAGAACTGTGTGCATAACTGTTTCATTGGAAAGCTGAGGGGGGAATCCTTTCTCATCATTAGAAATAAAGACAGTGACTATCTGGACCCATGTTTAAACCATTCAGTTTCTCCAAACTGTAACAACAATCATCTGTGAAAAATATGTGGAAATTATTAATTTGGCTTTTGAAAAACAATTTTAGAAGGAGATTCTAAAAATATTTATGCTCAGCTAATAATAATTTCAGGCAAATGATAATTTCTTCTGTTACATTCCACATTTTAATAAGTCACACACACACACACACACACACACACACACACACACACACACACACACACACACACACACACACAGTCCCACTTCCCCAGGAAGAAAAAAGGAATGTTAGTGGCATCTAAATTATAACCAGTCTTATTTTTTTTTTAATGGGGTTAAAAAGAAAATCAAATGTAACCCTCATCTTGTTTTAGGAATGTAAAAACTGACAAATGCATTTTAATGGATAGTTGTTTCCTTCATTTGAGCTCTTCAACAAAAATGAAACAAACCAAGTGTCTGAGATTTCTGTTTAATCACTGCTGGCCATTGCATAGAGACTGGAGGGCCTCTCGTCAAGGCAGGGAGGGAGCTCTTGTGTCCCTTTGGACATAATATAGTCAGTGCATTAACAATTATGTACGTTCAGACTTGATTATTTAAATTGATCTTCAGCTGTACTGTAAATAGGGTACTGCATTATAGTCTCTATATGTTTATTATTTTTCTGTAATATTTAAGAATTGCTTAAAAGTATACAGTTACTAAAACAGCTAATTATTTCTCTCTTCCTGCTCTGAAAGGAAGGGGCTTCAGTTGTTCCTACTTGGCTAGAACCATTATAAACAATGTACCTGTAATTTGTAACATAAGTATTACAATGTTAGTAACAATCTTACAGCCTTGTTTTTCAGAGTTTGTTTTATTTTGATCAGTATATTGCACTAATTATTTTAGGTATTTTCATTATATGAAATCTACCATGTGTCAGAGATGATTTAATCTATTTAAGTGTCGAACTGAAGCAGAAATTGTACAAGGTGCTCAGGTTGGAATAAAGTGGTATAAAAAACAGTAAAAAAAAAAAGACAACTTGCTGCTTGCTGACTCAAAAGACACACCAAGGATTTGGAAATAATGCTCAAACACAAGGAGCAAACAACAGAGATAATCACAAAACCAAGTATGTGGGGCAATCCAAGTGCTCTTTTGCATCCTTTTTATACTTTTATTGTTGTCCTTTTCAGTTGATGAATTATAATTGCATTCATTCATGGGGTTTATTGTGATGTTTAGATGTACCTATACACAGTAGTGTGATTAAGTCATGTTATTTCACATATTTATCACCTCAAAAAGACAAACCCCACTGGATTCCACTTATGTAGAATATGAAAAAGTTTATAAGAAGAGAGTACAATGATGTTTACAAGAGTCTAGGGGTAGCAGAAATGGAGAGGGAAGTTATAGGGAATGGTTGGTCAAAAGGAACAAAATTTCAGACTTAAGAGTTCTCCAAGATTCACCCTTTGCAGCAGAGAAACCATAATCAAAAATAGTGTTCTATATAGGTCATAGTCACTATGATTCCTTTTCATGTCTCCCTGCTTTTTAAGTGGACAGTGAGAGAACCCTTGACTTTATTATGACTTTCATGATGTGGATGATAGGCCAGGTATGAACTCAAACATCTTCAGGAGGGAGCCATGCAGGGTGTTCACACTGCATGTGACCAGCAAACACAACACGGAAGACTGTCCAGCACTGGAGGAAGGAATACCCTTGGGCCACTCCACACAGTATTCTAGTTGTAAGCCTGGAAACAGGCTGGCTTTCCAAAGAATTCTGTATAGAGAGAATTTTAACTGAAAAGATCCAAAGCTGCTTGGTGACAAGAGGCCCTTTGAATCCCCTGTGGGGGAAGTGTCACAGACTATTTTTCCTGGGAAACTTCCACCTGCTCTGCTCTTTTCTATATTTTCTCCTACACTTCTGGAAATGGTTCTTAGTAAATTTCTATTTCTCACAGATCTTATAATAAAACAGTTTCTCTTATAAGATGGTCTTAAGTACTCTGCTGTCTCACACAGAATCAAAATTCATTTGAACAGAAAGTAGTGAAGTAGTACTGGGAGTTAATCAAAATGCATAAGGGAAAGTTGACTTTAGAGACTTTCCAAGCAATACATGGTTAAAAGTACTTCAGAAGGGAAAAGACTCTGAGCTTCCTTCACGGCAGAAATTAAAGACTGTGTGTGAACTTCAGACACTGATGTTACCTGGTTACCATTTTCAAAAGGACCAAAGTGTTAGGTGCTACCACACCTGTCCTAATTCTAACCAGAAATCTAATTAGCCATAATCAAGTCTTGTGAACCAGATTGTGATGGGTGTCACTGAAGTGGCCTGGGTGTAGTTCCAGAGCAGAGAAAGGAGAATATATATATGTTAGTGATTTCCTCTTCTAAAATATGCAAGGAGTTTGCTCTTTCAATGGCAACATTTACTTCTTTTTAGAGCAGAAGTATAAATTTAATATGAAAGATCAGTCTTAATTATTCAACTTAATGTTTAATGTGAAAATTTCACTCTATCCATATACCACTGTTCCAAAATAGTTTTCTCATTCACCTTTTTACATCTTTGTTTCTCAAGCTGTAGACAATGGGATTCAGCATGGGAATCACAATGGTGTTAAATGTTGACACTATCATGTCGTGCTCCAAAGCATAGCTAGTGCTTGGTCTCAGATACAATTTGTCCCAAGACAAATTGGCACTCCTGTTAAGTAAGAGCCACACATAGAGAAAACTTTTGCCTTCCTTCAGCTGAATGGATCCTCAGAATGGCCAATAGGATGAAGCCGTAGGAGATGAGGGCAATTAGTATAGTGACAATCTCAATGGAGCTCATGAAGACAAATAGTAGAATCTGATTTACATGAGTGTCAGACAGGAAATAACAAGTAGAGAAGGAATCACAAAAGAAATGTGTGATTTCATTTGGCCCACAGAAAGGTTAAAAGTGGCCACTTTTATATACAGTGGCATTCAGAGTCCCACCAACATAGGATGAGTGTCACACAGACCCTGGGTGACGTGCTCACTGAATAGAGAAGAGGGTTGTAGATGATACATAGAGGTGATAAACCATTGCAGCCAATAGAAAGCACTCTGTGGTCCCAAAAGTGACAGCAAGAAACATCTGTACTGCACATCCAAGGAATGAAATGGCTTTCTTCTTTGACATAAAATCTATTAGCATTTTGGGGGTAATAACTGCAGAAAAGCAAGCATCCAAGAATGATAGAACACTCAGGAAATAGTACATAGGGTTGTGGAGCCTGGAGTCCCCAATGAAAGATACAATCACTCCTACATTTCCCATTACAGTAAAAAGGTAAGTTGCTAGAAAAAGGAAGAAGAGAATAACCTGCACCTGAGTATTATCTGTGAAGCCCTTGGGTATGACTATGGTAATTGCAGTGAAATTCATCATTTTGAAACTGCTAGGACAGACTTGAAGGTATTCAGAAATTTACTTTTCATCTAGCTATGAAAATAATGAACAGTGTATTTTATTTATCTCTTAGAAATATGTAATATTCAAGCAGTGGACTAGTAAACAATGACAAATGGTAGGATAGCACTGATGCCTCTCATGAGAGATCTAATGGAAGATACAGGAGTGCATTCACTGGTTGAACTCAGGCCATTATTTAATCCCTCAGGCCCATTAGTTAATTTTTGTCTGTATTCTGTCTACTTCCAAGGTAAATTATATTAAAACACAAAATGGATAGGTAACAAATTTCTTTGAAAATTCAGATATATGAGATAACATGTCAGTGGACATATCACAGGATAGAAATGTCAGAATTCTAGATATTTCAGCAATGGTGTAAAATGATTTGCTATAATCTTCTTTCCTATAGAATAAAAATAATACCTATTTTACAAAATAGGTATAAATATTGAAGGGCAAGACAAGTTAATGAAGTTGAATGTTTAAAACAACATTTTATAAAAACTATGCTGAATTATTATAGAAAGCAGTAGCTTTCTGTGCTATAATATTTTATGTGAAAATTTCTAAAATATTCATATCTCCATTAGGTCTAATTGGAATGTATTTGTAGAATTGATAATTATTTGAGGGATATATAAGATGGACCATGATAATTATATGACAGCATGTTTCCTCAGTATCTGTTTTTTGAATTCTTGGTATTCTATTATATTTTTTCAGCCAAATCATTGGTCATTTTCATTTCTTCTTAAAATGTGAATTCTTGTTAGTTTTTCAAGTTTTTTGCACTGCTTCAAATCTTTGTTGCAAATTGGTATGTTGCTCTTAAAATATAGAATATATGAGATTTTTCTTTCAAGTTTTTGTGTTTGTGTATTGTTCATAGATCAATGTAATAACAAAGTAACAAATGTTTCATAATTAACACAACTAAAGTTAAAATAACAAATAAAATCTTCATAACTAGATATACAATTAAGCTTTAAGAGTAATAAAGTAGGAAGAGAAGCAAGATGGAATAAAGGAAATCTTTGCTCATTAGCTTTATGTTTAAGCAAAGAAGATATCAAATGCTAACCTATGTGTAAGTTCAGTTTCTACTATTGGTCTACACTGCAGCACTACCTAGAGGATAGACTTATTGCATTCACATATTGATTAATCTTTTGTGTTCCACAAACTGTAAGAAATGTGGATAGGTCTTGAGGGCACATGACATGCTGTAAAGTATAATTTGTACACTACTTCAATTCATCAGCACTCACCAAGCTCCTTATAAAAGACCAGCGTTAATTCCTTCAGTGAGAGGACCAGCATTTGGATTTGCAACAGTGTCAGAAGAGAAAGAGAAGGAAGTCACATTCCAAAAGTCTTCTGGGGAATGTGGAAAGAATTTTGTTGAAGAATTTTGTCAAAATCAAATATTTCCATAAATGTTTAGAAAGAATAAAGGCAGAGAAACACAAAAATTGCACTCAAATAAGGTACCATATTTCTGCCTTGCACTTTCTGCATTTTCTTTCTTCTTTCATTTATTTTTATTAAATATTTAAGCTATACCTTTGTAAAAGTCATTCTATTTCTCAAGGGATGTCATCAATATTTTCAACAAGACAATAATTTTTGAAGTCCTGATATATTTGAAAGTTATTTTCTTAAATTAGATTTAAAGGTTTCAATAATACCTCACGAATCAAATACATAGCACCTCTTTTCACAGTATATTGCTTCCATTACATCTTGTGTTTGTTTT